CTGCAGACTGGGGGAGGGAAGAGCTTGATTTCTCATGTGTGCTCTCAGGTGCTGGGCTGAGACTGTGCTTGTCTGGTGGGGAGGCAGAGGGGTTTATGATGTCATTACAAGTTTTTGTGTCTCTGGTCATTAGCTAGATGCAAATAATAAGATTTTTAGGTTGTCTAAAGTTTGCATGGAATAAGTGAGTCAGACGTTCCCCCTTTGCAATGGTCTTCCTATCTGCAGATCAGTGGCGGGCACTGAGGGCTTCACTTGACACTCTGCTCCAGCAGCTCCAGGTCAACTGGAAACCATTTCCAAAGGCTGCATTCCTTTGATCAGTGACTAGTGAACTCAGGTATTTAAGGTAAATGTTACAGCTTTCTGGGAACAGCCACCCGAGTTGCCACATAAATGGCATGAAATTATTGTCACGGAGCCAGTTCGGCTGACACAGGAATGTTTTACACTTGTGTGGAGATACAAGAGAAGACCCGTCAGTGCTCCTAGATGCTGAGGAATTCAGACCCTCAGCCTTTCTGAGAAGAGGTTTTCCTGCCTGCTTTGTAGTGTGAAAACAAAATACACAGATAAAGAGAATTACCCGAGATCATGCAGGATGCTGCTGGGCTCGAGATCAGAATCGTCATCCTCTGTGTCCCAGTTTTCACTCCATCTATTAATACACCACGCTATTTTTAGCCCTCTAAGTAGCCACGTTGTTTGTAATTAGCTTCCCTAATAACTGCTCTTCCATACGCTGCAGGACCCACCAGCGGAGCAGCACGCTTTTCCCAGCCAAGCTAAATACAAGGGTGGCTAATAAAAGGCATCCGCATTTCCAGTTGGTTGCTGCTGAGCAGACACGTGTCCTTGTAGCTCTTGTGATCAGTCAGCTGCCTAAACACAGCTCCTGTACTCGGGTTAAGGATGAGGTGTTGCTGCTCAGGGTTTCCGGGGCGTTCCCTTGCTGACCTTTCAAGAAAGTGAAGAAGCACGGTCGGGTCTCTCCCTCTCTCCAGAGTGTGCTGAGTCAGGGCTGCTGCTTTCGAAGAGAGGTGTAGCATCTCGTAGTGCCTAGAGCTGGAAATGTAATTAATGGCTGCAAACATCTTAGGTGATGGCTATAGTTACACCCCAAGAGAATTACTAGTTACTGTAGGGATTGGGAGGTGCACTTGGAGCAGCTGCATGGAGCTGAGTGACCAAACCAGATCCAAATCCAGCAGATGACTGCAGAGGAGATGATGCTGAGCTGCAGTTCTCTTGAATCCCACCACTGACTGAATTTTGCTCCATTAAAAACACAATTGCTTCACCAGTACCAGCACAAAAGTGCTACCTAAGGCAACAGACACAATAGTAGTTAGGAGGAATAGAGTATTTTCACAGTTTCTTTGAAGAATCCAATCTCCAGATTTCTGAGCCTAAAAATAAGGAACTGAGGAATGTTCTCTACTATGCAGAAAACGAGGAGCTGGATGACTTCAGTGCTGCATCACCTCACTGCATGCTTGCTATGTGACTTTTGCACCAGCTTTGTGTACAACAGCAGTTGTAGGGGCAGCCAAATGAGCTCCCTTTTCAGAAAAGGCCCACGTCAGAGGGTTATTAACTCGAGAGCTGTGACCTCTTGTGAGAGCACTGCTCGGTTGCCTCCAGATCTGCAAGATCTGTGTGAACGTCACCTTCTTTTGCATGCGAGGTTTTTTTTGCTCTCCCTCTTTGATATAAATACATTGAGATAGTTATCTTTAACTGTGCACACACGCATGCAAGCCAAACTGAACACTGGCACAAGCCATGTGTGCTTAAACCAGCGGTCTTTATTCAGGCAAAGCCCCTGTTGATTTTTCCTTGCTTCTGTAAATTCCAAAGCCTTGGTCCAAAGCTGGTAGTGCACATTTGTTTGTCTTTGTATTGTAATACTGATGAGCAATCCTTGTAATACAGCTACGTTTATTTACCAGTAGAAATGTGCAGAACTGTGATAGGTTGCTAGTAGGTTATTATTGATTTTGTTCTTTTTATTCCTGCAAAAATGACTAGGCTAAATGCTACATTGGACCAAATAGAACCTCTCTTTTTTTTTTTTTTTCTTCCGCCAGAAAATGAAAATGGTCTTTTATCTGCTGAAATCTCCTAATTTGGGTCTAATATTGTATCACACATGCTCCAATGCACTGACAGGGCTAGATTACATCTGTGGCCAGTTCAGTTCCTACTCAGCACTTTCTTTGCATCTTGGCAAGAAAATATTACAGTTTTTCCCCATCTTCCCTATGTACTAATTTCATATGAAATGCATGTTTAGACATTTTAAAGGCAGTTTTGATCATACAGCATAGCTGAAGCAAAAAATACCAAACCAAGCCCCAAACCCAGAATTAAAAAACTCTAGTAGGAATGTCTCAGAGGAAAACCTAGAAAAACAGGAGGGTTTTTCAGAGGAAAGTTGCCTTCCCAAGAGTGCTTATTGGGTCCAGTTCTTGTGTTCTTCAGATAAATTCAGACGGGAAGAGGTGGACAGGAAGAGCTGGGATGGGAAAGCCTGGAGCAGCAGGTTGCTTTTCAGCCCAGTGCAGGTGTATCAGGGAGGAGATGGATGACCTGCTGAGACAGAAGGATGCTGATGCTCCAGGAGCAAATGGATCTCAGCTGTTATGGTGGTAATTAGGCTGAACATAAAAAGAAAGTTTCTAATTTTTGGGGAAGCTTTTTAATAAGAGTGTTGGGATTAAGGTGTTTGGTTTGTTTCTGGACAGGGTTATGTGTTTGCCTGAGGTGGATGCTTATGGAGTTTCTACTTCAGGGAGGCCCTTCTCAATCCTATTTAAAAAAAAGGGGAAGAAAAATGTGTATATGAAAATAACTTTGAGGTTTCTGGCGAGATTGAGTTGGCATGGTTTTATTTCTAAATGGCTATCCCCATACAGAGTCTGTGCTCCAATGAGGGAATCAGTTTTATTCCAAAGCTGATAAAATTCAGAGAATAGCTGTGTGAGGTGTGGTTATGTGTCCCTTTTCACCTGGTGTGAGTGTGCCCATGCACAAGGGTTGGTCCTGCTGCCTTTACTCTCTCAAACTGATTTCTGTCCCATCCGTGCTGCTGGTGCCTGGGTGCATGGGATCTTGCAGCACTGCAACACTAGTTTGAACAAAATTTAACCCAGAGGAAAAACAACAGCTTGTTCTTGATGGTGTCGGTTTCTGCACTTGTCTAACAAGAGCCTTTGTCCCCAGGCAGGCAAGGAAACAGGAGGTCACCCTGAGCAGTGCTGGGGGCGACAGTCTGAAATTGGCCCTGCAGTGGGTCCCCAGTGTGAGGGGAACATGGACCTATTTTAGCAGGTCCAGAGAGATGGTCAGAGGGCTGGAGCATCTCAGCTGTGAGGAAAGGCTGAGAGAGCTGGGGTTGTTCAGCCTGGAGAAGAGAAGGCTCTGGAGAGACCTTAGAACACGTGTTCTAAAGGGGCTACAAGAGGTCTATAGAGGGACTTTTGACAAGGACATGGAGTGATAGGACAAGGGGAGTGGCTTCATACTGAAAGAAGCTAGGTGTAGTTTGGACATGAGGAAGAAGTTACTTTATGGTGAGGGTGGTGAGATGCTGTAACAGTTTGCCTACAGAAGTTGTAGATGCCCCATGCCTGCAGGTGTTCAGGACCAGGTTGGATGAGGCTTTAAGCAACCTGGTCTATTGTGCCTTGAAACTATCCCTGTCCATGGCACTCGATTTAGACAAGATGATCTTTAAGGTCAGCTTCCACCCCAAACCATTCTAGGATTCTATGAAATGCTAGCCATGACAAGAGCTCTTCTTTTCCAGTCCCTTCCAGGTAGGAGGAGACAAAGGTGGCCATCTCAGGCTTCATTGTTGGGTGTGGAGGTCTTGGGGTTTGGTGGATCTGTGTTGGTCCCCATAGCTATGCCCTTGTGCCTCTTCCCAGTTGCAGGCAAGCTGACAGAAGCATTGTGCCCACCCTGGGATCCCCTTGTCCACAAAGCCTCACACCTGGACTACAAGAACAGCAAATGGCCTCCTCTGTTCTGGCAGGAGGCTGCATGGCAGTCTGTGTGAAACACTTCTGAGAATCAGCACAGGGTGATTCATACATGGGGTTTTCTCTCACTTTCTGGCATGTGAAGTTGGGGAGGTATTTGGAGTTTTCTCCCCTCACAGTCCCCGCTCTCCACCTCCCCTCTGAAATCTCTGTGAGGCACCCATAACCCCTTGGGAGACCCCTGGGGTATTTCCTCCACCTCCCCAGCAGCGATTTCTCTGTGAGAAAGTTCTCTAAGGCTTGGCCTCAGCTGCTGTGGCTCACCAGATTCTACGAGGCACAGGCAGGCAGCGAACACAAAGGTTGCATATGGCTGGGTGCAAAATAGCCTGTGCAGTCATTCAGGGTTGCTTTAATCAAACAGACTTGAAAGAAGCTGTCTTTATCTTTTTCTGTCATTATTTTCACCACTAAATTATTCGCAATTTAGTTGATGTGCTTTAGTCAAAACAGAGGGATGTGAGGGAGCATCCCCCGTGTTCAGGATTGTTTTGCACCCAGTGCATGACTGGGTTGGGGTTTCCCTGCTGCTGGGGATATTAAAGACACTGACCCCAAGCAACTCTTCTGAGCACTGTGTCCTCACTTGAACAATCACTCACTGCCAAGCAATGAAGTGATGAGCACAAACCCTCAGACTGACAGGTCTGTACATTGGAGTCCCAGTCCCAAAAGCTGTGTTGTGTTCAGCCCCTGCCACAGGTGTTGGCTGAAGCATCCACCAGCAGGAAGGGTCAGTTATGGTTGATTTAGTGATACTTCACTCATACTCCGTATGGACCTTGATGTTTGTCTTGGGGTTCCTGGTGTGCGTGTTTCATCCAATGACCCCCAAACCACCTTTCTCTCTGCCACTTTGGGTGCTGTCTTGCTGATCAGATACCATCCCCTACATTTTATTTCTTTGATAACATGTTCTGATAGGTTTTGTCTTCCTTCTTGTTTTCTTCACAGATTTATCTGGAAAATATGACTGACAGGAGCAGCTTACTCACCATTAGATAAGTATTGCAGATGACTCATGCTGGAGTATTGATAGCTGTGCTGCTGAGATGGATATTCTGTTTTATAACAGCTGTAGTGTGATGCCAAGAGCCAGCAATCTTAATTTAACTATCCATGCTTTTCTGTGAACGTGCTTTGGGTCTCTGGCACTTTTTCTCATTGGTTTGTCCATCTAAAGGGTTCACAGAGGAAGTTTTGCTTCCCTGAGTGGGTACAGGGTATGAGGCATCTCATGTCACCTTGAAATGAAAGCTAGTGTTGAAAGGCTGCAGCTTTATAGCTGTTCTTCAGGACATGCTGAAGAATATTTTGTCTTTTTAACAGATGCTATTAGTGACTTTCCTCGATTCTTTGGGTTTTTTTGTTTTGTTTGTGTTTTTTCAGAGCCGTTATGCCCCTTCTTCAGCAGAACAAACCAGAAGGTGCAGAAACAGGTAAGGCAGCTGCTGTTGCAGCATGTTACTTTTGAGTCATTAAGAGCAAAATACTGGCTGCAGTAAAGTGCAAAAAAAACCCCCACGTTGACTCAATGGCAAGTGAGAGTTGTACCCAGTGTACTCAGCTCCATGAGAGTCCCTGGAATTGCTACAGTCAGGGACAAATTTGCAGGCTACCTGAGAGCGTGGGTCTGAACCTCCCTCTGCATCCAAAACCACTGGCCTCAAGCTGTGTGAGATTCAAGAAGTAATGAGCATGGGCTGGCAGGGGACTGAGGTGGCTTTAGCCAGACAGCAGTGAGGGAAAATTTGAGTTAAAAGGAGAAACTTTTCAAGGGGGCATTGCAGCGAGGGCCATGCTGCCAGTGATGGCTCTGCCTGATGTACCTACCTGTGTGTGGGTGGTGTCACTGGGGATGGCTGGGAGCCCACCTGTACCACACTCCTGGGCATCACCTGTGGTTCACACCATCCTCAAGCTGCTGAGGATGTTTGGTTTCCATGAAGGTGCTGGGCCATGACTGAGAAGCTGTGGCTTGAGCAGTGTGTCCCTTTCACCAGCCCTTCCAGTGGGGCAGTGGAGGTGTGTCAGCTGCACCTGATTTCTCAGCAAACATGAGCCAGAGCCCAGGAAGAAAAATATGGTTTGAGGATCTGTGCTGTGTCCCAACAGCATGAGTTGTATCTCAGCATTTACTGTGAGGGTGGTGAGACACTAGAGCAGGTTACCCAGAGTAACTGTGGATGCCCCATCCTTGGAAGTGTTCAAGATTAAGCTGGACACAGCTCTAAGCAACCTGATATAGTGAGAGATGTCCCTGTCCATAGCAGGGGAGTTGGACTAGATGATACTTGAAGGTCCCTTACAACCTAAACCATTCTGTGATTCTATGATTTTGATACTTTGCTACATTCATTGGAGCTTCTGTTCTTCAGGCAGTTACGGCACTTTGGAGTAAAGAACTGGGTCCTGCTCATGTGTAAAATAAAAAACATCCCCACATGATGACTTGTAACATAATCTCAGTTATGTCCCTGCCTTGTAGAGTAGAAAATGCCTTTAAGGCCTCCTCCATTTAGGCTCTGCATCAGAGATATTAATTCACATGCTAAGAAACTACCTCAGGACTAAATTTTTTTAGAGTGATAATCTGATGTTGCTCTTGGTAGAAAGGAGTTTGGCTTTTGGGGATTGTGTAGCATCAGTTAGTGAGAGCAAGAGTCAGGACATGAGGAATTTACGAGTGTGTTCTTCCACTTTGAGCATATCCTCCTGCATTGACATGCCGAAAAAAGCCCCGAAACTCTCACAAATGCTCTTAACCATCACTTGGTGGAAATATTTGTGGAGTAGAGAAATGAGAACATTTGCCCCTTCCCAATTCACCTTGCATCACTGGGGTCAGGATGGCAGCTCAGGGGCAGGATCTGTGCTTCCCCGTGGATGGCCTCAGCTATACATATTCAAATCGAGCACCCAGGCATGTCACCTCAGTGCAGCAGGGGCTGACAGAGGCACAGGGGCTTTCCAGTCCTGCAGGCCATTATTAGTAAGAGAGTTTGTGTGTGGTGTGTCTTTTGGTTCAAGCTGTGAACTGCCACTGGGCTCTAAAAACTGCTGTTGAACCTTGGTAATTGTATTGCAAAAAGTTTCCGAGAAGCATAATAACTTCCCTAAATATATATCTAAATATATATATATATGTATTATGTCTAAAGATGCTTAAGCATTTGTTCATGCTGAAAGTTTGCTGACCCCAGTAGAGGTGATTTGTACTCTTGCCATCATTTGGGAAGCTCAGGCAAGTAGTGGATTAGAATAAAGAAGTGGTTGTTGGGGTTTTTCTTCTCTCTCTGTCAGTTTGGGATGGTGAATTTGGGGGCATCTTTGAGGGTTTGGTGAGTAGGTAGAACAATTTATAGCAATGTGAGTGACCTGTATGGTAACTTCAAGATTGTGCCAGCTGAGCAACTAGATCAGGGATTACAGGTCCCAGGGCACCTGAAGTCCAAATAGGTTTTTAAATCACACAGGTCATTTTAAAAGAGATAATTAAGTTTCTGAGTTCCTCAGTAGTGTCTACAAATGTTCCTGCAATGGCTCATGAAGCACTTGCAGTCTGTAACTTCTGCCAGAGGAAAATGTGCTATTAGGTGGAAATTAGCTGCCCATGTGGCATTTTCTGTCTTGGAGTCTCAGGGAGTTTTACTGAGATATGTTAATACAGCTGTGCTGAAGGTACTACTCATCTGCATGCTCTGATAACCATCCTCATGTGAAATGAATCCCCGTGGAGCTGTTTGAGATGTTGCTGCTCCTAGTTCCCAACCTACCTGGTTGCCAAAAGCTGCTCCCCACAGAGGCAGGGCTAGGGATGAGCTAATGTGCAACTGCACTTTGTCCCTTGCTCTGTATGAGCACAAACCCATCTTTGCCTACTGGGAGAACTGGAGCACCAGGTGGGAAGCTGAAATGTGGCATATCTATTCTGCCTCCCCTTCCTGGGGCAGTGGAGGATTAAAGGATGGAAATGCACTGAGGTGGAGGCAGTGACATGTCAGGTGCTGAAGTTAGGCTTTGAGAGCAATTTTACCCTCTGGAAGTGTCTGCTTTTTTACATTTGACTGGTTGGCAAGGTGGGAGTCATCTCATGGCACCCCCCATGTAGATGAGCAGTGCAGCCAGGGGAGATCTAGTCAACATTGTCTGTAGGGTTTAAGGTGTGATGGACCTTGATGAACAAATTGCACCTTCATCTTCCTTGGCTGTATGGCAGATTCTTCATCACCTGCAAAAACACCCCGTGCTGACTTGTTTGGATGCCAGGGCTGCAAACACCTTTCTTTGATGAGATGTGGCGTGCCCCAGCCAGCTCACTCCAGCTAGACACGATGCTTCAGATGGCTCTAGGGTGAGTGAGATGAATCCTACACCTGCTGGAGCAGTGCTCATGCCCCAGGCTGTGGTGGGCTGTTGGGGGAGAGGGGGGTGTTAAAGCAAGTTGACTGGGCCCTTCTTGCAGCAAGTCTGACTTTCCATCCATTTCTGGAGAAGATGATGGTCAGATCCAGGCCAGCTTGAAGAAGGGAAAACTCCTGTAGGTCACTTGCAGTTTGGCAGTGGCTGAGTCACTCACAGTCTGTGCACCCACTGCATTTGTGACCCGCAGATGTGAAGGGGAGGCAAAATAGGACTTGAGGGTATGGCACAAGAACAGTGTGGGACCTTTCCAGGAATAGTGTTCGAGGCAGTATGGGGACAGTAAATTCCTCAAAGATTTAATTAGTTTTGTGGCAACGGTTGCTTTCTGTCTTGGCTCAAGGATTTCATAATTTTAACACTTGCCTTCTGGAGGTCCACAGGCCATGAGAGCATGGGCTGATGGGCGCTTGGTGAGCATTCTTATTCTGGTGCACAGGTGTGGTTGTGCCATTGAGCTCTGGCTGTGTCTCATTCCAGGTCCCATCACCTCCCTTTTAGATGATCCCTGGTGCAGGTGTATGGGTCTGGCTCTGCCATCTGCTCTGGTTATGGTCACAGCAGATTTCCCCCCTGTAATGGGGGTTCTCCCTGTCTGCTGCAGAGCTTGAGCAGGCAGCTGCTACAGCTGACCCTGCTATTGCAGCAGATCTGTAGATGAATTATGAACAAGGAGGAGGGGAAGCACCTGGAGACACATCTGCATTGGACCGTGTCACACAGCTGTCCTAAGTGGGCAGCAAGCCCAGTCACTGGTCTGCACAGTGCCAGTGTCCTGCCATATGGCCTCACCAGCCTGGCTGCCTGTCCCAGGCAGGGTTAGCCTGTGCGAGAGACTGGTTCTTTGGTTTTGTCCTAAAGCCTTGATTGCTACCAGATCACTACAGTACCCTGAGCCTCCCCCAGCTTCATTTTTTCTTTTCATTTGGAGTTGCAGCCTGAAAACACTCGAGCTAAACCCTGTGCCCCAACGGCTGCTCATCTGAAAGTGTGGAGCCAGCTCGCAGCAGCTGCTAAAATAGCAGAACTGAAGTGGGGAATGAAAAGTGAGATGGTGATTAAGACCCAATTTCCTGTCGTGGCCCTGCAGTGTTGCTGCCGGCAGTGGAGACATTGGCAGCAGTGGTGTGAAATGTCTCAGCCTTCTGCCTTGGGCTTGCTGAGCACTCACACTGCCCTGTGCTGCTCACTTGTCTCAGTGCTTTGTAGATGTTAGTTTGGCTGAGCTCAGGGGGACGATGAGGATCCTGTTTAGGAAGGGGGGAAGGGTAGGGGGTCCATGCAGGCTGGTCGTGGCTGAGTTGGGGTTGGAAGCAGCTGTGGTGAGACCCAGGCCAGCCCTGAAGGAGACTGATGTTAGTTGCTTTGTGTTACCTGGAAGACATGAAAGAGTACACAGGATTTGGGAACACTGGGAATACTGATCCTCTGGATTTTTTTCTCCTGTCTCTGCCAGTAATTTTCCTCAGACCCACCATTTAGGACTGGGAGAGAGGAAGATGCAAGAAAGAGAAATTGCTGCTAAAGGGATAGTGAAGCTCCCTAGCTGATGATGTTTATTCCAAGGGCACATGGATTGTCCACGTGTCCTACTGTTCAGTTCCTCATGTACCTAAATGTTGTAAAAGAGCAAACACATTAGAATTAGTTTATCCTTTTGGACTTCTTGTATCAGAAGTTCATTCAAGAGAAAAATAGAGTACAAAGATGACACTGAGCTGATGGCTTTTCTTCTAACATGCTCTATGTGTATGAGTGTCAAAGACAGCTTCTGGTTTCTTTCTTACTCTGGAAGTGCAAATCACTGCTCTCCTGTCTGTGCTCCAACAGCTCCTAGGTCTGTGTTGTAGAACCTGATGTGTTACAGCAGTCCAAACAACATCATTGTAAACTGTATCGTTACTGATCAGAGCAGTGATGTTCAACACAGAGATGGGAATTCCTTACACTTCCTCATCCTTTGAAGAAAGCCAGTGGGCAAAACCCACTGCAAAGAGCCCAGAGCCCCACAGACCAT